GTAAGGGCGATGGCGGCGGCGCTCACCGTCGTCGCAGCGGCCGGAAGTTTGCTTCAGGCCGCACGTCGAATTTGCACGGGTACCGGTCGCCCGTCCACGCGGTCGCTGCCTCCGAAAACCAGCCATGGACGACCGTTGGTCCTACGGTCGCCCGCCACGCTGCTGCCGGTASCGTTTCCACTTCCGGCCTGCCTCCGTTGGACTGGAAATGGACCTACATCCGCCTTTCCCCGTTCTTTTTTTTTTTTTTTTCGGGAAAGTCATCTTTTGCCGAACCTACCTGACGTCCGAAGTCTGCTGGGAAAATGGGAAAACTGCCAGTTTTCCCTAATTTCCCAACAGTGACACAGGTACTAGTGGTTTAAGATGGAACTTCGGGAGGTGGGAGGAGAATGGTCAGCTTGGGTCCAATGTTTTACCAGCTGGGCAGGTTAGTCAATCGTTTTTGGCATGGGTAAGCCTGTTTTTCCTGGTAACCCCTTTTTTAGGGGACGGAGAGTTTTTTGGGACCCCGCTGTTGGGTCGGAGAGGATGGTACTCTGGTCTGTTCCATATGTTGCTGTTAGGAACTATACAGGGCTGGTTCTTTTCTGTTCTCGTCACCAGCGGTACCCCTGACTACGGCCAGTCAACTGGTGGACCGGCCCAAACACGCAACAAGTTATGGCACTACGCGTCATCTTTCACCTATGTATCAGCTTATATTGAAGATTGTACGGGCTGATAGCAATCGAGGGACTTCACTTTGTCCTCCATTTGTCTTCTTCCTCATCTTTGTTCTTCTTTCTCCTCTTCTATGAATGGCTGTGAGTGTTTTTACTTGGCTTGCGTGTTGCTTGGACAACTATTATCTACTCTCGAGCCAAGCACCCCAAAATTACGATTAGCAGCCCGGAAAGACATGCAAACAATTTCCGAGGTAGACGAGGAAGCAGGTCACAGTGCTAACTTCGTGAACGAGGAGGCGATGAGGCCCGTTATACAGAAAGAAGGTAAGCACTCAAAGAATCCGGACAAACGGAGGCAGGGCGTTAGTTGTTGAAATGCACTCACAAATTGACTAATATTCAGTGATAGTAAGCAATAGCATGGTGAAATTCATCGTGCATCCAGCATGACGCAAATGGCACGGTGGAGTGAGTCAAGCCAGCCAACGCTGGGCTGACGTCTCGTGGAGACTCGACTCATCAGGACAGCGAAGCAGAAGAAGAAGAATGAAGAAAGACAACGGCACTGAATAGCGCAAAAAGTGTTCTTAGATGCATCGAAGTACATCGATATAGGCACCTTGTGACGGCTTCAGCCCGTACATCTTCCGGCACTCGGCCGATGGCCATCATCAGGGGGCAAATTGCGCTATGTTGAAAGGAAGGACATACCATAGTTAAGAACCTTCGAGCATTCAGCTCATCCTATCTCTTCACTCCAAAACCTTCTCAGTCCCAGTGCCGGGACCAAACATCGAGGAACTGATCCCAACAATTCTAGTACTATCCATCGTTCCGGACAACGGCACCGCACTTCCTTCATCGAATAGACCGCTGGATACGCGCAGAACCCTTGGCCAAGTCCTCGTAGCGGGAAAATACAGAGACAAGATAGACTGCAGACTCAAGGATGAGAAAGATCGCTCCCCAGKRSSGGGRGGGRGGGRGGGGGRGGGGGRGGGGGGGGGGGAGGAGAGAGAGAGAGAGAGAGAGAGAGAGAGAGAGGATAATCTGTTTCTGAAAGCATATAGGGCCTACAGGGTGAAGGCACATACTGACGACAAAATCTGGGCCGCCCAGCGGAGAATTTCAGCCGTCGAAGGAGGCAACTCGACGCACGCCCAACCAAGTCAACACTACAAGAGACCACCCTGCCTCAGCCCGGTCAATCACTGGAGTGCTGAAGGGCTGTCGAGCCCTTGTACTACATGAAGCCAGTCTTGAGAGAGTGAGAGTGAGAGTGAGAGTGAGAGTAGCCATGGTTAGAGTGGGTGCACTTCCAAAAAAGCTACAGTGAGAGAGTGAGACTTGAGAGAGGGAGGTCTGAGGGAGAGATCGTATCCTGTGGTGAGAGAGGAGAGAGAAGCTTACCTGGACTTCCATGTTGATGCTGTGCAGAGCGAACAATGTTTCGCTATTAACGCCCAGCATTGCATTGTCCATGTTGTTCTCGGCTTGCGCTTGCATTTTTCTAGGCATCGCCCGAGAGGCCATGACTTGGAGAGTGTCTGTCCTCAATTTGCGAGGTGTTGAAGTGTTATGCGTGTGGCTTCATCAGGATTGCTGAGGTGGGGATTGGAGAAAGAAGAGCCTGGTTGTAGAAGAGTGAAAGAACAGAAGTCACTACCAATTTGATTATTATTTGAAGTTATCCTTCCGCTCCTAATCTTCTTCAGAGACTCTCGTGTCATTTGACTGCATTGCTTTCTGTTGGCTGGTCGTTGTGCATCAGATGTTGATAATGTTGTCAGCTTCTTGCGACGGTTTCGTTGGAGTTTTTGAGACGTGTTCTATTACAGCGACGCCTCTGTATAGCGCGCCCCAAAAGTACGGCGGGAGACGTCCCCAATCCAGGGATTGTAATATTTTTTCCTCATGTGCTTTGCGCCGACCGTTTTGAACAAACCCAGAATAGAATCGAGGCACACAAGCAGGGAGTGCTCACATGAGCCTGTTGTATTATAATATTTGAGCCCCATCGTGATGAAGAACTTGTTCTAAGGGGCAAGATTATGGCATGCTGCACTGCCGCGACCGGTTCCACTTAAAGGGTGCCACAAGGCAAATAATTTCTTTCACGTGCCGCGATTGCTGAATTTCATGGAGCACTTCTCGGAGGCAGTATGTGATGATGTAATGTGACTGCTTCGTTGATTCGAACTAGGGACATATTGACGATCTTGCTACAGGATTGCTTCACATTCTCGTGTTAAATATTTGACAGCTGAGCGTTGCTCCCCGACGGTTACGTTCTCAGTAGATTCAGTCGCCACTTGGCACGGACGGTCTGCGGACGGTCTGCGGTGGCCCTTCGTTTTACCATGCGGATACATAAATCCACACACACACACACACCCACAGAGAGAGAGAGAGAGAGAGAGAGAGAGAGAGAGA